TACTTACTACTTGTACTACTATCACTACTTTATGGTTTTTCACTTATTGCGGGCTTCAGAGTACAGATCCCCCGCGATAAACAAGGGACTACTGTATATATATAAATATGTATATAGAGAACAGCTGATCAGCTGCAGCAGGACGCTTATCCTGCAGTATGAGTTGCACAGAGGCGCAGGAGGTGCTAAATATTTAAAAATAATTAATTCTAAATAAAATTCCATGCCGATCGTGCGGATCATTCATCAGTCAGCCAGTTGTGTGTCATGTCCAATCTTATTTTAAAAAACAGCGATAGAGCGAGCCTGTGAAAAATGAACTGCGAAGTAGCTAGGGACTACTGCATTCTAAACTTGTTTTATTCTTGGTTAATGACTCCTTCAGGGCAAACTTGTACCTCAGCTAAAGCTTCAGTCTCCAGTGTTTTGTGGTCCCCAAGGCTGCTGTGGCGTGTGGCCCCTGTTACTGGTCTCAGTGGGTGGCCCTCAGGGTACATCTTCCTGTCTGGGTAGTTAATGCTGCCCGCACTACCAAAAGTACCAAGCCTCCTTTTTTCAGGGCTTTCCATGCGGCCCTTGCTGATGGACATCTTGTGAGGACTGCTCGGACAGGCAGCCGCCCGCGGCGGGGTGTCGGCCACCCTGGTTGGACTGTGGGTTTCGGCGCCGCTCCGACGGCGCGGGATGGCAGCTCCATCCGATCGTAACCTAACCCTGCAGACAGGGACAGAAACACAACCATCAGGAAAACCCCTCACGGTTCAGAACTGTTCAAACTTGAAAAGTGTGCCTTTAAATTGTATCCACCTTCCCATGACTCCTCCGAAGTAATCTGGTGACTGCTCGCATGGTGATGGAAGGTCATTCTTGGAGGAGCTTTTTTCTTCGAGCAGCGGTCCACTGCTCGCTTCGCTGTCCGCTTTCTGGCTGAGGTTATCTGAGAACGCATCATCCCTGAGAGCAGACAAATGAATAGCAAACATCCAGTTAAAGTTATTATAAATCACTAACAATAGCAAACTGAAGAGAAACGACTCGTTTCTTCACATGAATGTCACGTACAGGTCTTGTACTACAATATACTGATGTGGGATGAGGCCATCGACTCCGTTATGTCGGCCCTCCCACCAGTCTTCAGACGCTCTGTGGTACAGAAGCAGAGAGGCTCCCTTCTTGAAGGACAACTCCCTGGGAGTTCGACCAACGTAGTCAAACTTAGCGATGGCCTCGATCTGCTCCACTTCTGAAAAACACAAAGTAAAGACCCATCAGAAAAATATAGCAACACACGATTAGCGTCAAGACAGCTGCTTCTGGTTAAAGCCTAACTAACAGATAAACGAGGTGAAAACTAATTTATTTCTTGCCCAAAATAATATAAAGCCATCAAGACACATTAAAAGGCCAAAGAATTCAATCATTTGAAAATCTTTTAAGATATAATCGTAACTTAAAATAAAATAAAAAATACAACAAAAGGCACAAACCTAAAACTATGTTAAAAAAAGTGTATAATCGTTCATTTAGAAAAAAAAACTGACATTGTAAAGCTGAGATTTGAAGTATTAAAAAGGAGAGGCTTCCACTCCTCTAGAAAGTGCATGGATGAGCAAGAAGTTCAGGATTTTACTATAAAGTGTATCAACAACAACAACTACAACCACAAAAAGTAGTATAATTGTATATATTTACTGGCTCACAACCAGTACTGGTAAAATGTTTGAGCTTTAAGCACTGCAGCTTTAAAACATGCCAGTTTGTATTTTTATCTTTATTGAGACATTAAATTGACTTCCATTCATTTCCGTAGCCTGACTCTGACCTTTACTGAACCTAACATTACAATACATACTAATCTTAACCTAAACTCAATTCATGCGTTGACCCTAAACCTAACTTTAACGGTTACAAAATATAAATAAATAAAGCCCAGCTGTTTTTGACTTGAACTTTTTTGAATTTACCATGTCCTGGATGACTGAGAATCTTCACCAGCCCAACTCTAACTCAAAACTCCTAACCCTCACATTAGGACCAGATGTTCAGCACTGGTCTGAGAGAGGGACAATTCAACCAGGGTTGCCAGATAAGCAATGATGAACTATTGTACTGTTGCTTTAAAATTATAATATTTTGACCCAAACTGTCACATGTGCTGAGTGAAGGTGTTGTAAGATGAGACATGTGTTGTGTTTGGTGAACATATGCACATAATAGAGAAAAGGAGGAGGTAAAAACATGTGATTACGTAAATCTGGCAACCCTGATTTCAACGTGGCATTATTTCCACACCAAAGCTAAAACCGCGAAGGTTTTGGTCCATGACAGAAGCCAGAAGATTATTTTTATTTTGCACTACAGTAGTCCCTCGCTACTTCACGGTTCGTTTTTCGTGGACTCGCTACTTCACGGTTTTTCAAAGTAAGATTGGACATAACACAAAATTGGCCATTGATGGGTGCGCCACACGATCAGCATTGGAATTTTTATTAAAAATAAATTATTCAAAATTATTTAGCACCTGTGTGCAGCCCACAACTGCGGTATAAGCTTCCTCCTGCAGCATGTCATATATTTGCTCTGCAGCGGAGAAGTGGGCGAGGCCGAGAGCGCTGCCAGAGAGCTTGAAACCTCTGCACGCAGAACAACTGATCAGCTGCAGCAGGACGCTTATTCTGCATTAAGGGCTGCACAAAAGTGCAGAAGCAGCTTTTTCTGCAGCTCTGGTAAAAAAAAAGTTGTAGCAGCACTTTATGAAAAAGCTCAAACTGATTTTGTCAACAAGCCCTGGAGCCCAGATTAAAGCCCTGCCCTGATGATGATGAGCCAGAGAGGATCTTCAACCACCTCATAACAGAAATGATGACCGTGCAAGAAGAGGTAATGTTATAGTATTATTGTGATCTAATTAACTTTTTTAATTTAAAATTATAATCTTATTAACACATTTTTTTTTTTTTTTACCTCTTTGTGTTTGCAGTCTGAGGATGTCACCGAGCGCTGAGCAGCTTAGTCTTCTTCCTCTTCAGGGAATTTTTTTAAATTTATTTTTATACAAACATATTGTTTACTTGGCATATTTTCAAAATAAATGTTTTGAAAGTCTTTATTTTGGCCTTTTTTGTACCGAGAATTAATCGAACCGAGCCCTCCTTGAAACTGAACCTAACCGAAATGTGATTTTAGCGTACCGTTACACACCTTATATATATATATATATATATATATATATATATATATATATATATATATATATATGTATAAACTACTACTTTTTACTTGTACTGCTATTCCTACTTGGCAGTTTTTCACTTATCGCATAGCTTCAGGGTAAGGATCCCCTGCGATAAACGAGGGACTACTGTATATGCAACCTCACCACACTCATCATCCATAAAATTAGATTTTTTTTTTCAAGGAAGACAGTTAATTCAGTAAGATAACACCAAACTAATTGCTTCCAGAATTTAAAAAAAAGTGCTAAAGTCAAACTGTTCACCCCAAAAACTACACTCATCACCCATCAGAACTTAAAATCAGCAACATTTCTTAAACTAAATCTACATTTAAACTTTATGTTTATGCACTTTTGTATTCAATAAAAGATTGACTAACAAATTAATATGTTATGTTAAGAAAACATTATATAGTGTTCCAGTTATAGAAGGTTTTTCAGAATTAACCCTGCTGTGTTTTGTTTTCCATCCATCCAGCAGGAGTCAGTCAGTGCTAACTGTTTCACAGCACAAACCTCTGAACAAGCAAAACAGCCTGCAAAGATAAAAACACCCAGAAAGTTTCATGCTAAAAATCCACCAGAGATGAATGTTGAAACAAAATCTTGAGACTAATTTTTAATGTTTTTTTTTTCTCCTTCAAACATGATGAAATTAAAATAGAAAAGCTGCTGTTATCACTGCAGGAGATAAGCTCCCCATTAACATTAATCTGCTTTTCTTTCATGAAAAATGAGCCAGAGGACACAAAGTGCAACCCCAGAGCTTGTAATCTAATTAAAAAATAAAATAAAATCCTGCATCAAGGCTGAGGAGTGTACACTTTTCTGAATGAGACAAAGCAACAACAACAAAAAAAAAAAAATCATGGCGTCAGCACTTGTTACAAACAAAGCCAGCTACAAAGATGAGAATCAAAGAGAGGTTCAACACAGGCTCCTTTCTTAACAGCACAGGACACATGATTCTGTGTAAAACCAACATTTTGGCTTTTGCACTTGGCCCAGTTATGTACTCAAAGCTCAGAGGACGAGTGGGGGGAAACACTATACAAAGGAGAAACTCCCAGGAGAATCGCTGACTAACATCGAACAAAGAGCGAGCAGGAGAGGAGGGGGGGAACACACACACACTCACACAACGCGAATCAAAGAGGCTGCGCTGCATGCCAGCACTGCTTACTCTAGTTGCCTTCAGCTTCAGACTTCACATAAGCCTCTGCCACCAGAAGCTGCTGCAGCTCAAACTTGAACAGAGGAGAACCTAATAAAACAGGTCAGGCTGCTCTTGAGGCCACAAGGACTTGTAAAACAACATCGTGCTTTCTTATGAGGAGCCCGTGTTGTAATATTTGGCAATAAAGTTCAAAAGGCCTAAAAAAAAAGGCCAGTGTGAACAAACAATAATAGCCTAAAGCTACGAAAGGAGCCCAGACTAGAGAGAAAACACTAACCTTCATCACTGGTGTGTGGCTCTGTTCCATTATCAGCTTCATCGATGGTTCCAGGTTCACTGTGAGGGCTGTCGCTGAAGGTTCAAATGCAAAGTGAAAAGGCGACGCTGTTAATTTGTAAATGTATTAAAAACCAACACATCTGAGCAGGAGGGTAAGCTGATAAAACACAAAGCAGAACACCACAGTTCATGCATATTTCATTGTTATTTGCATCAGCTGATGAACCCACCAGTACTCTTCCCCACCGGTCATGCACTTCTCATACACCGGTCCGTCCAGCTCTCGCTGATTAGGAAAAATGACCTCGTGGTGGATAATGATGGTCTTAATGACTTCGTTAACGTGCGCCTGACACACCACAGGATCCTGGCCGTCCGGGATGGGCATCAGAGTCGGGCCGAAGCAGATGGCTAAATTGTAGGGATCCATCATGTTCTCATCGCTGTACTGGGAAAGACTGAAGGGACAGGACAGGAGCGTTATGGCTTTTTTCTTGTTTTGTTTAGGTTAACAAATGGATTCACATTGAAACCTTTAGAAAAACATCAGAAAACCTAAATATGTTAAACTGAATTCTCCACTGTGAGACGGCCCATTTAAGAATTTCTAGTGGTAGTCTAGTTTGTTTCTTTGTACAAAACTCCATCATGCCAAACAATATTGAACAGTATATGCATTTAACACAATCCAGCCTGATTTGCTTTGTCAGAAACTTCAGAAGACTCAGGTGGAGACCTCAACAATCGCCTGGATCAAAGACTACCTGACGGACAGACCACAGTTTGTGAGACTGAAGGGTTGTGTGTCTAACCAGGTGGTCAGTAGCTCAGGAGCACCACAGGGGACTGTACTCTCACCATTCATTTTCACTCTGTACACCACAGATTTCCAGCACAAAACAGACTCCTGTCATCTGCAGAAATATTCAGATGACTCTGCAGTGGTTGGGTGTATCAGAAATGGACAAGAAGCTGAGTACAGGGAACTGGTGGACCGTTTTGTGGCATGGTGTGGAAACAATCATCTCATCTTGAATGTGAACAAAACAAAGGAGATGATTGTAGATTTCAGGAGAATCAGGAACAGATCCAACCCTATTTTCATCATGGGAGAAGAAGTGGAGGTGGTGGAGAAGTATAAATACCTTGGAGTTCACCTGGACAATAGACTGGACTGGAAATGCAACAGTGAAGCGTCTACAAGAAGGGACAGAGCAGACTGTACTTCTTGAGGAAGCTGAAGTCCTTCAATGTTTGCAGCAAGATGCTGCATATCTTCTATAAGTCTGTTGTAGAGAGCATCATCTCTTCTGCCATCATCTGCTGGGGCAGCAGCACCAGAGCAAGTGACTTAAAAAAGATCAACAAGCTCATAAAGAAGGCTGGCTCAGTTCTGGGGACTCCTCTAGAACCTTTGGAGATGATTGTTCAAAGAAGGATTCTTCATAAAATGAAGAACATTATAGACAACCCTCAGCATCCTCTTCATCAGACTGTCATACAACAACAAAGTGTCTTCAGTCAGAGGCTTCTTCAAATACGTTGTAGGACAGACCGCTACAAGAGATCCTTCCTGCCCACAGCCATCAGCATCTATAACAACTCTTTAATGAAACCAGGATGATAAGTTACAACAACATTTAATTTCCCTCTGGGATTAATAAAGTATTTTTGAATTTGAATTGAATTGAATTGAATATAAATGTCCCTTAACCTTTTTGAACTTAGTGCTGTCCCAAAAGCTGCCTCAAAAAAATCCACAAATAAACCCTTAAAGCTGTGTGTTTGCTGCCATTTAATTAACATTTTAGTTATGTAAGTATTACAGTTGCTTTAGGAAACGTCAGTGTCCTCATTTGAGGGTTTTGTGATGTAACAGACATGTTGCAGAAAAATCTACTTTCAAATAAATTCAAACTTCACATAAAGTCGAGATGCAACATCGGCTTGAAAACGCATCCAACGTGCACCACAATCAAAAGGTACAAAGATACAAGATTCAAGGTCTTATTATGCAAGGAATAAACTTATTATTGACCCTTTTCTGCAGAAAAACAGTCATGGCTTAAGGTGTTTCGGGTAACTCACTGATTGAGAAAAGCAAAAAGGTATCTCATAACAATTATGACAGTCCGAGGAAGAGTCACGATGATCTGCTGGATGTGATGCGCTCGCTCAGGCCCTGATTCCAGCTCTGAAACACAGATTTAAAGAAGTAAAATAAAAAGAGAAACAACCGCACCAAAACAAAGGACTGTAAACATTTTGAAAACTGATGTTTGTCTCTGATGTGCCCTCTTTCACTAAAGTGATGTGCTCAGCCAATTAGAAACAGCCGGAAACGTGGTTTTTGGTGAACTTGCTCACAACAGACTGATGTGGTCCACACATGTCTGATAGACATCAGAACCGAAGTGCTGCTGTTTATATTACTTCCATGTGTTGCACTGTGTGACCTTTCTCCTCTCAGTTTTTTTTTTTTTTAAGTGTTAAATGCATTTTTTTTTTTCCAATATAGTTCACTCCAAACTGCTTGAAGTGTTTTTTTTTTATTTTTACTCACTGATGGTAGCGATGAAGTCCAGGAAACGCTCCTTTGGGAAAAGAGGGTTTTCCAGTCCTCTGAAGTAGAGCTTCAGCACGCCCGCTACCGAGTTAATATCATGCTCATTCTGGTCATCAATCAGGGGATCTTCACCTAATATAGAAAAGGATTTACGAGCTTTCAGAAGTTGGAATTTGTCGAGCCAAATACAGTGCCTCGCTCTCGTTTATCTTTTTGGTTTCGGTTTTTGACACGAAAAGCAAAAATGTGCTGTTCGGACTCACCTCTCTCAAACGAGTTTTTGATATCGTTGACCTCCACCTGCGATCCTGGCACACGAAATATTCCCTGCTGCTGCAGCCCTAGGAGAAATTCAAACCAGACTTTGACGGATTCTGAGCCGCAGCAACCTCCAAACCACTTTACCAGCTTCATGACAGACCATTGGAAACACATAACACAGAGCAGGAAATGTAATCTAGTCATAAAGAGACATGCGTATTTTTTCCAGGAGAGGGCCCCTGAGCGAGCCGGCAGCATATGGTTTTAGTTAGATGGATCTAATCAGTTTTCTGTAGCTTCATTAGGTCCAGATCCAGAGCACAGACCTTCAGGCCCGAACAGTGAGCTGAGGACAGATATGAAGGTAGACGTGAAGAACTGGAAAGAAGGAGGGAAGCATGCAGGTGACCAAACAAAGTTGAGGCCTCAACACTCAGTATGAAATCTGTTCTGAGCTTGTCAGATAATTGACAGCCAGCTGAGCACTTGTGAGACAGAGACGGAGAACGTGCAGGTCGGCCTCTGGACAAAAGCATCAGCTGAAACAGCACAATGACAAAACTCACCATAAAGATTGATGTATCTGATACAACTTTCCACAACGATGGGAATCGGTTGACCCGAATCCTGTAAAGAAATCACATAAAATCATAAAAAATGACAAGAATATTTATAATTAAAAAAGCAGTGAATATTTAAATGCTAATATTTAATAATGATTACAGTATCAAAATACAGCATTAAAGTGATTATTCACGTCTTTTAAAGCATGGTTCTGTGGAACGTTTATGAACAATTTTAATCTTACCTGTCATCGATAACTAGATTTTAGAGTGGCCTCAGTTTGAAGAAACAAAGTTTACCTCTGGCGACATCGGCAAGCTCGTCCAAACAGGACCAAAGTAGATAATCTTAAAACCACTTTAAGTGCTTTAACACTATTTTATAAACCTGAGCTGTTAATTTCTCATTACCTGGTTATTCTGGCAGAAAAACTGCATTCCAGTCAGAAGTGCTGCAGGTTAAACTGGATGTGCTACAGCCAGCTGCTGCTGCCACTGTTTGCATATGCAAATGGCCATAGAATTATATGTAAATTATCACAGTTCAAACTAACAGCTAGTCTGAGTGGCCTCACTCTGACTAGTCATTAGCTCATCGGTTTTGTCAAAAATGTATTTTAACTTTACTTTTAATTTTGGGGCAGCTGTGGCTGAGTGGTTAGGGCAGTCCTCCACTGGGAGAGTTGAGGGTTCGATTCCACCAGCAGTCACATGTTCAAGTGTCCCTGGGCAAGACAGTGAACCCCTCACTGTCTCTGATGTGATGTGTATGAATGTGATCTAAAAGCACTGATTACTGTCTATAGAAGTATTTGTTCAATCAGCTTGGTAGAGATATGTTAGAGAGCTTTATGAATGAGCGTGTGGAGGTAAATGAGGGCGCAGACTGTGTTGTAAAGTGCTTTGAGTATCTTGATTAGATAGAAAAGTGCTATATAAATACAGTGCATTTACCATTTAAAATCCATCTGTACATAACATTTGAATCATTCATAACGTTTCCACAGAACCCAGCTCTATCTCTTTAAAGGGATCGTTTGTTCATTTTTTTTTAAACTGTGTTTTGTTAAATAGTTTTTAATTGTTGGCGTGTAATTAGCATTAGTCATAGAGCACAAAGTATGGAAAAAAAAAACAGAAGTTTTTGTCCAGGCTAGGCTAATGGTTAGCTCAAAAAGAGCTTGTTTTAATTGTCATTTTTCAGGTTTATACAACAACCTTTTCTTAAAAAATTAAATACACCACTGTAAAAGAACACTACATTAGTTAACATCAAATCACTGAACTTTTTGCATGACAGGTTGTTGCTGTTTTTTTAACCGAATAACATTCTCGTTACTGCACAAATGCACGTGCGCAGATGGTGCATAGATAGAACGATGATTGTGCTGAGGCTGCTAACTGTATCTGTCCACCCAGTGGTGCAGGCTACATTTTTGTAATGGGTGAACTGTGCTTAAAAACCAAAGTACACCGGTTAGTACAATGTAATTATCAATTTATTTAGATTTTAAGCATATCGATGCTTATAATTGAATTATTATATTTATTATTATATTATTATTATTATATTATTATATTATTATATTTCATACTCAGTGCTCTATGGCTGATGTTACGGCTGATAAACAACCAACTATGAACAACTAATTGACAAAACCGTCCTTCAAAAATGAACAGACTATCCTATACATATATATATATTTATACACCTATATATCCTGTAAGTATACAATGTCACAGATTCTAGAAACAGGTTCTATAGCATCAACTAAAATGTGCTGGATAAACAACTGAAAATCAGGCAGAAATTTTTAAAACAATAGTTCAAACAGTAGAAAATAGTTTGCTAGGTTTGCACGCGTAGCACAGCTGAAGAAAAAAACGTCAAAGCTGTTAGTTAAATGTTAGTTTGGGGACTTCTTTGTAGCCTTTCCAACATTCGTTAACAAATGTTATACCTGAATACGGGTACGGGCATTCCTTCTTCCTCTGGGACAGAAAGCAGCAAAGCACAGAAAAGCGGAAGACAGAAAAACAAAGTTACCTCAAAGCTTAAATGAGAAATGATCCCTCTGGAGGTTAAAGATGGTTAAGCTCAGGGAATGACAATAGGAAGGCTGCAGAATGCTGTCGGGATCGGGGACAGCAAGAGACAGAGCAGAGAGCTGTCTCCGTGCTCTCAGAGTGACTGGATTTAGAAAAAAAGCCCAACATAAATAAATCTACAGCGTACAGCCGCTGTGTCTACACCAGCAGAACTACGGTCAGAGGGAGGATCAGAGGTTAAACTGAGGTGTTATATTGTGATCAAGAGCAGCTGGAACAGGGAAAAGCCAAGAAACCAAAGTGAGGAAGAGGATGAGAGGCTTTAACTGCCTTCCCTTCAGCTCCACACGGGACGCTCAGTCAAACAAACACCACCAGGTGGTACCTTGATGAAGGTCTCCATGTCGCCATTAAACAGCCTATGGTTATACATGGAGCGTGGCCTAGGTTTCTGCGTTTTCTGTGGCTTGGGGGGAAGGGTGGGGGGCCTGGCAGTGATGAACAAGGGGGACAAAAACACCACAGTCTGTGAAACTATAGAACCAAACAGGGTTAAAAACAAGCAGAAAAATAGAGTACCGGTACTAAAACGCCCAAATAACTGACCAAATGTAACCCTTTGAATGCTACAGATGAAATGGGGCTTAAACTTTTTTTTTTTTAAGAAAACAAAAATATGTGAAAATCACTTTCTTTATTGAGTATTATTGAGTAATATTCAGAATATATGCAATATAAAAAGATTAACTTATAGGACAATGAAGGACAAGACAACCCTTCATAATTTGTACTTACTTTCATACCAGTTTTTACACAATGGGTAAGCATGAGATTTATTTAGACATGTCTTGTGTCTCTTTTGTACATATTAGAAAGTCTCCCGTCAGTGTCCTGTTTGTTTTTACTCGACTGTTCAAATATATTCTAGTGTAATTGTACCTTTTTCTACCACAGTGGAATTTCATGGTGTAAATTCCAGAGATGAATGGAATAAACAGATGGCTGTGACGGGAAAGCAGGGATTAGAAACTGCTCACTTTAAAAACACCATCTTACCTTGTCGTTCCACACTCGGCTCTCTCCCCTGAGGGAAAACACACACACACACACACACACGAGGAACTTGTTATATTCTTGTGTCTTTATGTGGCACATTATACAGACTCCTCCTGACTCACTAAAGGATTTCATGACAGACAACATCCCCGTTGAGGAGGGGAATGAATAGAGCTGTGCTAACACCATTCGTTTGACAAAGCCTTCGAGCCGTCACCCTCAGGGGACACAGATCCCCCCCCCCGAAGGGTCTCAGACCTTAGACCTAGGACGGCAGCTGCAATGTGTGTGTTTGATTGGGGAGGGGTCCAGCAGTGACGCTGAACAATGTCAGTGCCGGTTCATTGAGTCTTTTGTTATAGCTTTCCTACAACACATGCAAATATTACATATATTCTTACTTTTGACTGATTTTTTTTAAAAAGGCAACATAATCAAACACAATAAAACGTCCTGTTCACTCATTTCAACGTCGGCCCTGCATGTTTTTTTAAACCATTCTTTTTTATTTAACACTAACGAGGCTGTCACCTGGAAGAGATGATTTGTTATACAACAAAAGCCATAAACAATTTCAGCACTATTCTTTATTGCATCTAAGAAAAGTGGTTAATGCAAATTCATTCCTCGACACATCGTACAAGCAGATGGGACCACGTCTCTCGAGCGTTCATACGGGGAGAAAAAATAGGTTTTCCCATACATAATTCAACTGAGTGATGGCCCTTTCTACCGCAGACAGACCTGCCTCGAATTAAGACATGTTTAAACAAATGGGGGAAAATTAACTGTAAATTTCCCTAAAGATGACTTTTTTGAGAATGCAAAAAGAAAATGCAAAGACAAAATCTGACGGATATCTTTGCACCACCTTTCTTGATGCTGAACATTGACGCGTTTTTATTAAATCGCCCAGCAAGATGTAAACGCCATGTGGCCCTCAACGCGCTCATTTCCTTCCTTCTGTCATGCTGATACACATGCACATACACAAACACGCCAGATTTGAGCTAATGAGCACGACTCAGGCGTGATTGATCACCTGAATAATTAAACATGGGTGGTACCTGAAGGCACCATATGCTCCGCTCCGACGTGGACGTTTGACCGCAGTGAAATGGGAGTTTTTATGACAACACGCAGCCGATTGTTTCTCGTTTCAGATGAAATCGCGAGGGTGATATGAAGTCCTGAGATGAAGTTTCAATGAATTTGGAGTTTGACATGTAAATAAAGGCATCATGTGAGAGATTCGTGTAGCCTCAGCTGGCTCTGTGTGGGGTTTTCTCATATGATGTGAACCCCTGACTCAGGAGCAGCTGCAGAAATGGGCCCTGGCTTACTCCAGCTGATTGACTGGGCATAAAACATTCATCCCGGCTGAGGTGACAAGGACACCCTCGGGGAAAAGGTAGAACCAAGGAAATTAGTTTTTTCCTGCAATCCTTTAAATGGAAATCCTCCTATAAAAGTGCTAACCAGATAACACACCAACGAGTGAAGATAAGAACAAAGGAGGGAAAAATGCCTCAAAGAAGAAACTGTCTGTTTTCAGGGTGATAGTATTCTTTTGAAAATCACAAATGTTCCCTCTTTATTCCCTGTCTCTGCTTTTAAAAATGTCTCATGTCTTTGTAGCCGTAATACCTCATTTGTGATAAGACTACACCGCTGCAGCATTGAAGGCAGCCGTTTTTGAAGAGCTGGTCTTTGTGGATTATTATCACAGGACAACAAACTAGCTCTTGTGCTCAGCATTAAAAAACATCTGAAATTAAAAAAAAAACCTAAAGAGATTTACCTTCACCGAGCGTCTGCTTCAAAAGGTCGTGCTTCGCCTGCAGTTTTATGATGAGGTTACTGCCGTTCAGGTACTCCTTGAATTTCTAGGTGGAGGGATGAAGACAAGAGTCAAGAGTAGTTCTAATGTCCAACAAACACGAGCCTGGTCCAAAACTCAATAAGCATGAATTTGCTTTTATTCTTCACTTTTAAAAAATATGCATTTGGACCCCCCACCCCCCCACCCACCCATAGAGTGCTATGTCTCTAGCATCTTTCAATTGAAACCTTTATTTATACAGGTGAGTCTCACTGAGCCTCGAGGACTCGTTTACAAGAGAGTCCTGTTTTGAACAGACGACAATAACGACAGCAGGCAATCTTAAAAGAAAGCATATAAATTGAAAAAATAAATAAATGGAAGAAAATTATATTTAAAAAAAAAACAAAACAAAAAACAGCTACATTATAAAGCGATATAAAATACTAACAACAGGTACATGTTTGCATTGGTTTTAGCCATGATCTTAGTTAACGCATCTGTATTGTGCACTGCTAGCTCAGTTCTGCCAGTTTTGACGTGTGTGTGTGTGTGTGGGGGGGGGGGGGGGGGGCTCTAAAATAGTTATTGAATTGAGTATTTAGGTAAATGTAATGTTTAACAACCTGTTAAAATACACCAGAATGCAGTAAATGGCATCTACTTTATTCAAAATTTTCTGGGGAAGAACTTCCCCCACTCCCTAGACCCCCTCACACACCAATGTACCCCCTACACACACACATTACAAATGCTTCTGATGCTGATTGTGGGCGATCAAGTAAATGTTTATTTGTCTGTTAGCCAAATATCTCATGGACCACTGTGTGAATACTGTATTAAATACTGTATACGTATATTAAATATGAAATTGTCAGAAAGCAACCATTGGATGTACTTTGTACATCTACAACTGACTGTTTTGGAGCCAACCTGTTTGAAAGTGGGTGCTACATCTAATCAATCATAGATGGCTATAAATTCATCAAATTTATGGAAAGTCAACTAAAATATTGAGTGGAGTAGCTGGGAGTCTTAACTGGTTTATGCTGAAAATGAGTTTAAATTCTGGCATGTACTAGTGTCATGTTGATGTATAAATTTAGTAATGTTTGATTTCAAAGCACATTGAAATAACAACAGTGATGAACTCAGAGTAGTCTGACGTAGACTCACAGAGAAGTAGAACGTTTCTGTCTCTTGTTGGTTCGCCCTCCTCTTGGCGACATTGAGCTTGTTCATGTACGACTCCGAGGCCACAGACTTGATGGATTCAGTAGAGCGGCTGTGTTGAAAGGCGTCCGACACGTCGAAGTCCTCCACTGTCAGCATATCCTGCAGTGTTTGCATGGTGGCATCCAGGGTCTTTCTCACCTGGATAGGTTCCGAAAAGGTATGGAGAAGAGCAAAGATGACAAACGATCATGCTTTTTATGTTTCATCTCCATTTCAAGTAAGCAAAGGCATTAACGGAGGCAAGACTGAATTATTTAGCAAGCGATCTTATCCTTGAAAAATAAACCATCAGAGTATAAATCATTACGTAAGTAAAGAGCAAGACTTATTCAAACTACAAGTAAACAAAATGAGTGGAAAAAAAATAACTTTTTGACATTATCAAAGGTTTTTTTTTATTTAAAAAAGAAAAGTAATTCCCTGTTATGTCATGGCTGCTCCATTATCCTCCAGAGCACAATACAGAGAAGGAGGCAGAGCCATTACCACCTCTATTCACATCTTTGTGTCTTCTATTTATAACAAAGCCTTCCTTGCCTTTCTGATTAAACAAACAGTTTTATATGAAAGAGCCCTGTGACAGTCTGCACATGCAGCCTTCCCAGTTTTTGCAGAGGGTAAAGGGAGCAGATGATGACGTGGCCCTTCTACTTGATATTTTGCTCTTTGAAAGTGTGAGGGCTCCGAGGAAAAAGTTTATTTAACTGGGAGAGAGGACACAAATGATCAATTCTAACCTCCTCATTCTCAATCTTCAGGGTTGCTAAACGAGACTGCAGTTGGTGGTATCGCATTAGAAGCTCAGTCTGGACCGGCTGCTGGGCGCTGACCTGGCACACCTGAGGAGGAAGAAAGGAAAAAAAAAGATCAACCTTTGGTGTAAAAGTTCACTATATTAAAAACAGCCTTTCTACAGAGAAAGATTTACATCAGCTGAAGCGTTTAAATCTTCTTACCTCGTCTCCCATGTGCGGCAGGTATTCAAAGCGCATCGGAGGACAGAACACCTGGTTATGCATATCCATGATCTTGTGCTTGTCACTGCGAGAGTCCAGGTTGTCCACTGCATTTTCAATAACATCCAGACCCTCGTGGCGAGATGTCTCCAGGTTGTACTCTGCAGACAAGTAGGTCCTAAAGGTGCGAGCCAAGCTGGCATGGTAGCCCAGGTCACAGCACTTTGGAGAAAAAAATTATAATTTAAGAAAAATAACACACGTTACATGACGTCATTCTAAGTTGGACAGAAGAATGGTGATATGAAAAACACATTACTGTATTTGTAGGGTTTCATTGTGTGATGCAAAACACATATTGCAGCATTTCATATACAGTAAACTGTACTAAATGGAAATGACAAATAAAAAAACAACTGTAGTTCTATAATAAAACGCTACAGATTAAAGTTATCTACAAAGTTCCAATTTTTGATTTTTACAAAGCTCTGACTTGCTGAATAAACATTGTTTGATTCAGACTTTCTTGCTAATAACTATAATTAACTGCGATCAAAAATATATTTTTATTTCTAGTACAATTTTTTAAAAGTGTTTTCATAATAAAAACGCTTATTAAAAAAGGTTAACAATTTCTCTAAAATGGCACCAGGTTACAGACCCTTCTGTTTGACACCGTAGGTCTAAAAATAAACAACTGAACAGAATAACAGACAGAAACATTTATGAAAATAATACACAATAGCAAATTATTAACAGTCTAATTTTTGCTCATTAACATTTTAATCGTGTACACAGCTCTGAACATAAAAGTACATCATATAAAAGAAAAACAATACTTTTTTCTGAAAATTCCCAATTTAATATAAACTAGAGAACTTGCATTTCCTGTGAAAATGCAGTGTGAATGCTTATTGCAAAAGAACATGCTGAAATTAGCTAAAAACATGCTGAATTGTAGATGAAATGGAAGAACAAGCCTAAGTTAGCAGAAGAAAGAAGAAAGAACACATATTTGCTGAATTAGGTTTAAATAAGCAGAAATGACCAAAACAAATTATGAAATTAACAACAAAAAGCTGAATTTAGCAAAAAATAGTTGAAAATTAGCTGAAAATCCAGAAAGAAGCTTAAACTATCAGAAGGAAGTGGAAGATGCTGAAGTGAGCTAAAAAAATGTGCATTTAGCTGAAAAAGCTAAATTTACCACAAAACAAGTAAAAAGTACCTGAAATAGCAGAAAAAAAGCTGAAAGGAGCATGACAAGCTGAAGTTAGCAGAAAAAAGTTAAGTTGGGCTGAAAGCAGCAGAAATTACCATGAAAAACTTGAATTTATTTGAAAACAGATAAAACTAGCAACGTTGCTTATAAAAGTAGCTGAAAAGTTAGAACAAGCAGAAGAAAAGCAGAAGAAACAACACATTTGCTGAAAGAAGCAGAAATGATTAAAAAAAAAAGTGGAAATCATCTGGAAAAAGCTGATACGAGCAAAAAAAATAACATCTGAAAACTAGCTAAAAAGGCAAAACGAAGCTGAAATTACAAGAAGGAAGTGGAGAGAACATTTTTGCTGAATTAGGCTGAAAAAAGTTTAAACGAGTGCAAAAATCTGGAAGTAGTTGAAAAAGCTTAAATTAGTTAAAAAGAACAGCTATATAGTAGCTGAAATAGTAGAAAAAACTGAAACTTGCAGAAATAAGCTGAAAAAGGCAGAAAGAAATTAGTAGAAGCACAAAAATGTTGTAGTTGGCAGAAAGAATCTGAAAGAAGCACAAAGCAGCTGAAAAAACAGCTTAATTTACTGAAAATAGCTAAAAAAAAAAAAAAAAAGGTTAAAATTTGCACAAGGCAGCTGAAAGAAGCTGAACCAGAACAAAATGTGAAAGTAGCAGTAAAAGGTTGTAAACAGACCTAAAGATTTAAAGGATGTAAAATGAGCTCAATTCATTTTCCATGAAAAAAAGTGGCAGAAAAAACTAAATATTTCAAAAAGCTGCACCAATACCAAACGTCACAGCAGGATTTTCTTGAAAGAGCTGAACATTTTGGTAAAAATTCTGGAACGAGAAAGATGCTGAAAAACTTACGGAAGAAAAATGGATCACAATAGTGTGAATGCTTCATAGGCATTCACACTATTACAGAGCTGTCCGCAATCATTTTTGTTAAGAAAAAAAGAGTTTTACTTTTAGATTTGTTAAATTGTTGAATCATTCATTAAATTTATTGTAATTCCAGACATATAGAATCATAGTTTGATAAATGTAATTAGTAAACTATTAAATCTTTGCTTATATAATGCATGCCCAGCTTGCAAATTATAGGTTTCACACAGGAAGTTGAACTTAAATGCCAGCTGGTACTTTAAAGGAACATCTTATCCTACAGTATATGGTACTGAGCAGTAAATGCAGCAGCAGACTTTCTTCAATAGAAAACCGTTTCCTTTTAGAGGTTTTTATTTATCACGTACTTCCTCTGACTTTAATTTAAACACTTTACAGATAATCAAAATAACTGAGTTTCCTCCCTGTGTAAAATTCTCAAACAGGCATTCTACTGTCAGTTTAGTTTAGTTGCTTAACTGCAGTGTGTTCAAAGATTGGTTTAAAAAAACAACAACTTGATTAACGGTGAGGCCACTCAAGGTGAAACAACCGGTGCATCGGAGGCGCACAAACACTGTTAGCAACCGTAAACTCATCACTGCAACAAGGTGGAACGTTAAACAACTGATGCTTCAGCGTGTTTAGTTGACTTTCACTTAGACTTAATTAAGATAAGTTCAACATAGATTATAAATATACATGTAAATAATTTCTTCCTTTTTTTTTTTTTTTTGTCTGGTACATTATTCAGAGCACCTTAGCACATCTGTAGGTCTTGCTAATTGATTAAATGCCTGATTACGTCTCAGTACATGTTGGGGAAAAAATGAGGTAGAGCTCATAAAATGATAGGATTTGGCACAGTACGACACGAGGGATAATTACAGAGTCTTATCACACAGAGCTGTGTGAAGTAACGTAATTAAGTAGAGGACAGTACTGAGGAAGTTCATAGGGAGCTGGAGGCAGCCGACAGCAACGTAAATCACTGCGCAAACCCTCTTTAAAACTCTTAAACACTAACGAAGTTGTCTCTCTTCTTTGTGCACATGCCTCGTTGCACCTCTTCGTCTATATCTGACTCACCCAAGTCTGAAGGGAGCAAATTAGCCTCATTTTAAACAAGTAAACGAAGCAGGAACACATTCACGTGTCTGTATTAGCACTTTGTATGGTGGAAGATTGAGGCTTAAATTGTTCGTGTCTCATGTTTATGTTTGTCTCATTACAGTTGCACGTTGATTACATTTTTGAATTTTTGCACATTTATTACATTTCATGCATTTCCTGTATCAACTCCAACAGAGTTATGAAAAGATGCAAAATTTTATTGAAACTTGTTACACTTTGTTGATTGATTTGATCAAATGTTACTGGTACTTTCTTTAAAGATTTTTAGACATCTGCAGTTGTACTTTTACCATACCATACCAAACCGTACCATACCATACTATACCATACCAAACCGTACCGTACCATACCATACCATACCAAACCGT